AAATCTTCAGTAGGGAAAAAAGACAAGGGGCACAAATTCCACAAACTACCCAGTGTGAAACTAGTGAAAAGATAATTGACAACAGAAAGAACCATTGAGTGATGGGATAGCCTGAAGTTACTGTTCATGTAATTTTCTCACAAGGGAGAAAGAGAACAAGATAATTTTTGGGGGAAACGTCTTGGTTACTTTTCTATTGCTGTGCTAAGACACCATGATGAAGGCAATATACAAAGGAATGGATTTAATTTGAGCTCACTGCTTCAGAGGGTGAGAGTCCAGAATGGAAGAGTAAAGGCAAGACAGCAGGAACAGCTGAGAGCTCACACTGATCCACAAGTAGGAGGCAAAGAGAGTAAGGGTGGGGGGAGACATAATGGGAATGGTGTATGTCTTTTGAAACCTCAAGGCTCACCCCCAGTGACAGACATTCTCCAACCAGGCCTCATCTCCTCATCTCAAGCAGTTCCACCAACTGCTAGCCAAATATTCAAACATACAAGTCTATGGGGTCCATTGTCCTTCAAACCACCATAGGAGATAACAGCCAAAACCTCAAAACGAGGCAAAGGCTCTCACTTTGACTACGAAACTTAAAATATCCACACACAAAGGGTAAAAGGAGCAGTGCCATTATTTACTGTGTTGCCTCTCTTTCAAGATGGTACACTGCCATCCACAAACAATTCCTGGGTCCCATGTTTATTACAGAGGGAGGAGAGAACTGGAGGCAAACTTCAGTTCTCCATCATTCTATGGTCTTGCCTCATGAATGCCAATGCTCAGTTGGAGACAAAGAACAGGGGCGGGCATGCAAATCTTGGAGGTAGCTTTGCAGTCATGTCAACAGGGAGAAGCCAGTGGCATCACTCTGTAGAAGCAGTCAGTGGTCTCCCTGGCCCGCACCTGCCTGGCCTCCACATCTATCCTTAATGCTCACCTTGGAACCTCCCCAAACCAGGGAATAGGGCCCAGATGATCTCTACTCACAAAGAGAACACCCATTCCTCCCCAACCCCAGTTGTTAAGTGAAATAGTCCAGACCTAAAGAGACAAGTCCTGTGTTTATCTCCCATTTGTGGTAGCTAAAAAAATTGTCCTCAAGCTTTAACCCAACCAAACACCAGCCTTCCCTTGGGACCAGTAAACAGGGTCAGAGAAGCAGTTAACCATAGAGGGAGCATTCAGCTTTCCCCAGGCCCAGTGGTGAAGCAGCCATTATACCCAGTCTTAGTGTACTGTTTAAGTATACCATAGGCTGGAAGGAAAGCCTACACCCTCACATGTATGTGGAGCCTAGACTTTGGCTCTGCCCACTCTGAGTAGCTAGGTCATGAAACCAGAGATGTTGCTGAGCCCTGGAGCCCAGTGTGCATTCTCTAGCCAGCCTCACCCCCAAATGGTGAAGAAGCAGTCTGAAACAGAGAAGTAGTCTTCACTAGACTAAGGAACTTAATCTGTAGTTGGAGTCAGTCTCATAATGTAGGTTACAGCCCAGCTCAACTGGGAGAACACAGTAGCGAAGTCTACAATAGCTAGGTTGTGAGCCACCAACTAGCATGACAGGAATCAAAGGCGAGACCAAATAGTGGAGATCTACCAGAATCAAAGGGCACACGTAGAGGCTGGAGAAGGTTGCTGCTTGTTTCAGTGCACAGGGGCCTATGACACAACACAGAAGACAGGAAATAGAACACAGAAAGAAATAATTACATTCAAAAAGGTAAACTCTGAAGAGATGGAAATACCTGAAATGACCAACAATTAATGAGGACTAGACGATTTGTTGAAATATTTTATAATTGTGAAAGAATACCGAATTGTTATTGAATGGCCTTGTATGTCCATTTTGGTCAATGATGTCCAATACTGTGCTGAAGAGAAGTGTCAAGCATGCTATTTTCTTCTGATTCTGGATATTAAAGGAAAGACTTCAGCTATCTGCCACAGAGGAAAATGCCAGCTGTAGGTTTTCCATAAATAGCCTTTATTGTGTGGAGTATATTTTCTACATCTAATCTGTTGGGAGTTTTCATAGTGAAAGCATATGTATTTTTAAGAAATATTTCATCTACACCTAACAAAAAGATAATGTATTTTTAATTCATAAACAATATGATATTAACAGTGGCATAGAAATAAGAAAGTAGAGCCCCTAGAAGTATAGAATACAATAGCTGAGTTAAATATTTTGGTAGAAAACATCAGCCAGAGACTAGTCAGACAAAGTATTAGTGGGTGCAAAGATTGAATATTAGAAATTATACATTCAGATAAGCACAAGGAGTGAGAGGAGATGGCTCTTGGTAAGGCCCTAGCTGTGTACGCCTGATTTACAGAGTTCAATGCTGGAAGTTCACATCAAAATCTGGACTGAGTGGCATGTGTCTGTACTCTCAAGAGTTCCTACAGTGGGATGAGAAGTTCATAGGCCAGCTCGCCTGGCATACACAGCATGGCAGAAACAAGACAATTCCTGCCTTCCTGAAGAAAGACAGTGTGGTTCCATGCAGCCCACCAGGAGAGGGGGAAGAAAAAGATGAGGAAGAGAAGAAAATGGAGGGAAGGGGAAAGACCAGAGGAAGGAAGGAAGGAAGGAAGGAAAGAAAGAAAGAAAGAAAGAAAGAAAGAAAGAAAGAAAGAAAGAAAGAAAGAAAGAAAGAAAGAAGGAAAAGAAAGGTAAATCCTGCGGCTTCAAAATTGGAGTCCAGCAAGGCTTTCTTATCTCTCAGTGACAAGGGTCCCTTTGCTCTTTGGCCTCCTCTTTGAACTTGACCTGCACCACCATGTTTCCCCACCTGAATTTGCATGTACTTTCTTTGGAGCAATTATGAATGTGCTCAAGAGTATAGTACTGTTGCCCAGGTTAACATAAAATACCCATGCATAGGCAGGGAAGGCCCATCTTCCCAGGCTTCTGTTTCATGGAGGGCAGAAGTCATGAGACACATCGTTATGTTCCAGTACCAGACACACAGTAGGTGCTCATGTGCTCACTAGACTGGGCAGTGGTGGTGAACACCTTTAATCCCAGCACTCAGGAGGCAGAGGCAGGTGGATCTCTGAGTTTAAGGACAGCCTTGTCTGCAGAGTGAGTTCCAGGACAGCCAGGGCTACACAGAGAAACCCTGTCTTAAAAAAAAAAGAGCAACAAAAATGTGTTTGTCAATTAATCCTGAGGAAGACTGAGTGAGTTTGAGAGTGAGAGCATCCCATTCCGCTCTCCTGAGCTGATGCCAGTCTCCCAGCCTGTGGGACGAACTTTCTGGATTGGAGCATTCCTGCTCCCCAGAGGAAACACCCAGCCTAGTGTCACAGTGCACATCACAGCACGTCCTAAAGTCTGTGCTGAGGGCCACAACACCTCACCAAGGACAAGGAGCTGGGAATAAGGTAGTGACAGTCCTCCCCCCATTCCTAGACTGCCTTTTGGATGGGGCAGACAGCAGTGTAGGTTCCATGCACTAACAGTTTGTGAGATGGCACAGGAGACCATTCTCTCAGACACTGAGGGCTGGGCTGTCGGTGATGAGAGCCGCCCTCTCTCATGCGGGTGTGCTTCTCCCTTGTTACAATTAGCCAAGGAACCACGGACCCCACTTCCACACCCCCCTCATCATTAACATGTGTACCCTAAAAATAGAATCAGATCCCAGAGTGAGGAACAAGAGAAAGCAGCTTCCAGACGCAGATGGAGACCCACCCACGAACTCAGCAGCCCAGCGGGAAGGTCCTCGGGCACAGAGCCTCTGGAAACTCAGCCAAATAGAAATATTTTTCTGGTACTTCTGCTTCCAACTCCCATTCTCGTGGGATCTACGCAACGCTTCTCTACCATCATGGAGATGCAAGAGGCCAAGGAGCTCACCAGGCCAAATCATTGGATGAAGGATGAGGGACCCATTTCAGGGCTCTCTGGCCAATCAGGGGGACTTGGGTGAAGAAGTGGCTGCCAAGGGTCCTGTCTACCTGAAGGAGCAGCGTCTCTCCCCTCAGCATGCATGGCTGTGTTCCCCAGAGTCCCGTCGGGTTAGGAGGCACCACCCTTGAACAGCCTGTGGTCCTTTCCCACCCCCCAGTCCAGGAAGCTGCAGTGGGGTGGAGGGGGCGCGAAGGGAGGAGACATTAAGCTTGGTTTGCTAAGGACTGTGATCTGTACAGTACCTCAAAGTGTGTGGCTTGACAACAGAAGTGTATTGTCTCAAAATATCTAGAAGCCAGAACTCCCAGATTGAGGTTAGTCCTCCTGAGGATGGTGGGGAGAATCTATTCCAGGGGGCTTCCCCAGCTTCTGGCAGGGTTTCTGGCAATCTTTGGCATTCCATGGCTTGTACATCACCCTGGCCTCAGTCTTCATCATTACGTAGTGTTTTGTCTGTGTGTGCCTGTCTCTAGGTTTCTCCTTGTTATGAGGACACTCGTCATAGTGGAGGGGTCCGCCCTGCTGCAGCATGACCTCATCTTAAATAATGAGATCTGCCATGATCCATTTCCAACGAGGCTCCATTCTAAGTCCTGGGGCTGAGAACTTGGTATTAGGGATTTAGGGAGACGCCCTTATCTTGAAAGCAGGCAGTTCAGGGAAAAGGAGATTCCCCTCCCAAACCCTGCTCTTCTTCAGGATTTCTCTGAACACTCTTGGCTATGCCCTTGAGACGTTATCTTATGAATCTTATGAAGGGTTCCGAGCAAGGGCCTTTCCTTCCATTCTGTGCCCTCCTCTCCCCGAGGTATAGGGTGATTGATAGCTTCATTAGCTGTGGCTAGCAAGGGTAAACAGGAGAAAAATCAAGGGACCATCAACATTTCCAAGATTCTGCCCTTCACAATAACTATGTACACCTGTATGCCTTTTCCTGGAGTGTTGAAGAGGGAGATTAAGGGCCAGAGACTCCTGGAGGAGTACCGAGGGGGAGGGTGGCATTCCAGATGTGTCTTCTTGGGACTCAAAGGTGAACAACTGGCTGTCCCCTTTAACAGGTATGAAGAGAAGACACAGATTTTTTTAAAAAGACATTTATTTTAAAATTTGTACAATCTTTGGATAATTTAGAATGAACAGGTACGTGTTTAAAGTCTCTGATACACTGTCTCACACCCCACACCAAGAGCAACAGCAGATTTGATCGACAGAAGGATCCTATGACTTAGGATGCATACATGGCTACTGAAGTGAATGTCCATGTAGACAGAGGCTTTCCTGTCAATCACAGATTACAAACTACCTGTATCAATTATTAAACATAATCAAACCAACAGCACCCACATACACATCATAGTCTCCTTCACTCAGGCCTCCACATTTAGAGGCCACAGAGAAAGTTTTACAGACTCCAGAATCACATTACACTTAATTTATTCCCCCACATTAATAACAGTTAAAACCTAGAATCTACCCAGTGTACTCCATCCCCATATCAACAAGTACCTCCTGTTAACAGAATATCTGCTTCCTGGGCACTCCTTTCCTGGCCCTGATGAGTTATGAGTGTGTGAGAGCAGTACTTGGAGAAAGCCAGGGATGCCCTAGCCTTGTCCCACACAGCAGCTGAGCAGCCCAATGCACTGCACAGGGCACCCTCAAGCAGAAATAGACCTGAGGTGCAGGCAGCAAGAAGGGGCAGGCTCGTGGGAGCTACAAATGGGGTAGTTGCCCCACAGTAGAAAGGATGCCACGTTCCTGTCCACTGCCCTGCCTTGCAGCAAAGGCCAGTCCTGGTGGGATCACCGAGCAGGCCCTTCATGAGTAAATGAGGAAGGACAGCAATGTTCCTACTTCCTATGCACCATGGACACAGTCCAGCCACATGCTTTCCTGTGGTCCCCACACAGCCCTGTGAGGTAGGATTGTCACCCCCATTTTACAGATACGGAAACAAGGGTCCAAAGAAGAGATTCCGTGTAAAGTGGCAGTGAGTCAGTGGGGGTGGAGCTGAAACCCAGGGCTTTTCACTTCAGGCTTCTGCTGTCCGAGTAAGGCAAGGGGTCAGCAGTAAATAGGTGTCTGAGGCTCCAATGCTGGAGCCCTGTGAGCACACAGGGCTAGACTTGGGAATCCAGTGGACTGGATCTTAGCGGCCTGCGTTCGTTTGTATTCATTTTTTTTTTTTAACCACAAACAAGTCATCGAACGATTCCACACCAGGGGCTGAGTGGGCCTCAGAAAAGCCTTGTGAGAACATGCTTGCCAAACACGGTGGGTGCTTCCTGCCCAGAGACCAGTGTCACTCCCTTGCAGGGGCTAGCGGAGGACAGGACAATTAGCAATCACACACCTCACACCTTGTAAGAATCAGTTATGATTAAGATTCTAACCTAAGTCCTAGAAAACATAGTCCCCATGCCCTGAGAGACCTTCCATGGATAGCCCATGAGGTCAAAGAAGTTGGGGCCAGGATATCTGTCAAACAGAAAACAATTAAAAGTAATCTTGGAGGGGAGACTGCTTTAAGGGAGAGAAATGGGGGGCAGTTAAAAGCTTAGGGAGTAGACATTTAAAAAACTAAAAAGAGCCCCAGCCTATCTGACTCACCTGGTGTCTACTGTGGGGTGGCACTTGCTGCCAGAGTGGGTAGGGGCTTCCTAACAAAAATATTTTGGGTCCCCATGTCCTAAAGGGAGGGGCTTAGAAAATGCCAGAGAATGATAACAGGAGAATGGAACACACAGCTCTTCTGACGCAGGTGACATTTGCTAGATATGTGTCTCTTTCCCAATGCCACATCTCTACAAGAACATGGCAGAACTGGCCCCTCCAGGGTGTACAGACAGCAGGCCCCTCCTCTCCAAAGTCCAGTGCCCTGGGCACATGGAATGTTTGCTTTCTAGCTGCCTGTTGGGTGTCAGTCTCTTCTACTCAATGGTGACAGGGTTGAGGACAGACAGGAGCTTTCTGTACCTTTCGTCCCCACATGGAGAGGGAAGCGGGGTCTACTCAGGAGCCTTTGTTCACAAGTTTACCAGCTTGAGGCTCAGCCTAGCCAGACAGGGTGACAACAGGACTATGTCCCCAGGGAAGTGCCCTTGGGAACGACTCTGCTCTGGAATAACTGAGCTTGCTTCCATGTCCTGCACCAACGATTTGCTTCTCCCTCATTCCTCCAGAGCCACCCTGCATCTGGCCCAAATCATGCCTTGGGAGAGCTTCTTGAAGATGTGGAATCAATACCTCTGTGGAGATTTCAAGCCGTGGAGGGTGCTAGTTTGTGAAGATGACATCATTCAGTTGGGAAAAACAAAGTCTGGTTTTGGCAACCCTGGTGAGATATGAGACTCTTTCCCATGCCCATGTGGAAAGAGAGGAGGGTGCTGTCCAAGGAGGAACGTGTGTGGCATGAATCTGAGCTCCTGTACTCTGGTGGCTGGGTCTGCCTCCTTGCCACCAGGCTTTGGAAGCCCCAGAGTTCTTGCCAACAAAATTCCCTAGAGTGCAAGAACTAGGCTTGGGGAAAAAGAAAAAAGAAAAAAACAAAACAAACAAACAAAAAAACCCAGCACTCCTCCAAGCAGGGGTAACCAGGAGACTAGCTATATAATGACCAAAGGAGAAGATGGAGAGTGCCCGGCAAGAGACATACTCAGCAGTGAATGTTCCGGAAGCCGGACAGTGTGGCTTTCCCGAAAAAGTAAATGTCTTCATCTGTGCCCTCGTTGAGTTGCTTCACCATATTCTTCTCAAAGAGCAGCGGGTGGTACGCGCCCATCGTGCAGGCGCTGTCGAAGAACTTCTGGTGGTAGTAGCACACGTCAGTCTTGCGCTTGGACGGGAGGAACTCATAAACATCTACCTGGTCACACAGTGTCATCATGATGATGATACCTAGAGAAGGAAGCAGAGGTGAGCCATGTCCAGCAACCACAAGCAACCCAGAACTCTGCCTAGTAACTGCAGCTGCTCAGCACCTTGAATTGGGTGAACAGTCACCCAGTCCCATCTATTCCTATGATTCCCAGTCTGGGTTTTTCTGATAAGCCAGTCAACAGACTGGCCCACTTTATAGCTGTGTACCCTCGGCACCAAGGCTACGGTCTGGCATGTATAAACCTCACACCATTCAACAGGATTAAAGGACTCCATCAGTGAATTTATCAATAGAGTAAGCTATAGTAAGTCAATGTGAAGGAGACAATGAATGAAACAATGCTACCACTTGTACTTAGCACTTCCAAGCATTATGACACCTTGCCAAAGCCTCACAGGGAACAATTAAGATGACTGGCTCATGGAATACCTGTAGGACACAGTTCTGAGGACAGAAACCCTCTCCCCTTACTTGGAATGAGACAAGGGAAAGCAGAGCCAAAGCATGGCCCACACTGGTGCTATCCAGGCAGGCAGGGCAGTGAGATGCAAGCCCATCCAGGTACAGGGACTCATATGACCACCCAGACTTTTCCACCACTGGCTGAATTGTCTTGTGGAGAAACACTATCCCTATGTGCCTTAGGCTCTTTGCCTGTTCTAAGAGGGAGACCTAGGCAATGCTTTACTGTGTAGGTCACTGTTAGGGTTCAGAAAGAGTCCTTTTCAGTAACTATTAATATAGGGTATCTTTAAAGTGGAGCAGCTCTCCACCAAGGGTGAAGCTACAGACTGTGGCAGCAGCTTTGTTCTAGAAGAATCGTGCACTGGAAAAACACTTCTGCCCTCCAATTGCTCCTGGCTCAACGAGGAAGAAAAGCCGTCAGCTCTGTGCTGATGCAGGCGCTACAGAAGCTCCCCTAGGAAGGACAGGAAGGGACATGTCTCCTCAGTAAGGTCAGAGAGCACTGGTGCGGGGTGAAGGGGCAGTGAACCTAGGAGGAAGAACAGGTACAGCAGGGACAACCCAGACAACAGCAAGGCCATGGGGCAACATGAAGTGTTTTCCTCAGCGAGCCAACTGCTTCCACTCTAAAAGCTCCAGGAAGAACCCAGATGCACTACCTGAAGCAGGGGTTACAGAGAGGATGGCACAATGCAGTGGCCCTAATCCCTTTTCATCTCCGCCTCTAGTAGAAAAGCCACTCACTCATTCCAGCAACGTTTACCATGCCAAGCCAACAAGGATAAGTAAAACACAGTCAACAGCCTAGTATGGCAGATAAGTTACACAGTCCCTGGAACCACCTGGTTCCAAGTGTTCCACTATAGGTACCCACAGAAGGAGTGTCCATCCCTCCGCACAGACAGCCTGCACGCTCATGGAAACGTCCCAGTGGTCCATCCAACGAGAACGGGAGGGAAGGACAGATGGGTGGTGAGAACGAGGGATATGGAAGGAGCTTAAGAAGAGAGGCTTTGACCAGCATTCAGGACCCCAGCCCCTAGGCCATCCCACGTCAGTTTCCACTTCCCACATGACCCCACACAGGCAAGCTTCTCTCAGGGTTGTGACTAAGGCATCCATACAGCGGGAGAGGTGCTATTGACTCAAATTCTACACATGATTCCGCAAAACAGTGTTTCCAGTTCTGTCTGTATTTAAATACGTGGCATTTTGTTCACTATAATTTTTGGCCTTGTGATTTTTTTAAAGATACCACATCAAAATGTTACTTGATAAACGAGTTTTGGCATACTCTCTAAATTGTAAGCCAAAGACAAGGGTCTTGCTCACTCCATCCAAGATCCCATTTCCTCACTCCCTTCTCTTTGCTTCCCTTTACCCTATTGTTCCATGGCAAACCCTCCCTTCTCTCCTCCGCAGAACTATCTCTGACTGTACAGCTAGCGAGGTTCTTCTCTCAAACAATAGCAAGGGTCTCCTCGTTGTGGCACAGACTGAATGTGGCCTGAGATGCCTGACAAACTCCCTCAGCAGACATCCTAAGAGGGAAAAATCACATCTTATGTGTGATGGAACTTAGCACAGTGTAGCAGAACAACTGTTCTGGTGAATGAATGAAGCCAGAAGAAAGCCAACCTCTTCTAGAAGACATCACAGGAATTCCTCACACATGGACTCACCCAGCATGCCGGAGGATGGGGGATTTGGCTGAATCCTGTCTGGAGCAATTTCTTGAATGATGTCCCACAGTTCCCACGGCATCTGAGGCCTGAGGATATAAAAGGGCTGGTCGGGATACAGCTTGCGATAACTCTTATACGTTTCGAAGAAATTGTAGTCTGGCTTCTGGTACCACTGGGGGGGAAAAAAGGAAGTGGTTGCATCAGCAAGGAAATGGGCTCCTCACACAAACATTCTTGCCAGAGGATCAGCCTTTTTGCTGCAGATCACAAACTTCTCCAAATCGCAGCATTAGTGGGCAGCACAGTAGGGCTCAGGACACACTCTGGTGACCCTGGAAAGGCTTCGTATTTCAGAGCTGCCAAGTCTGGGAATGGTATCAGTTGAGAGGGGGTCCGGCACCATCTAAACAGTCTTTTATTACTGTTTGTTTGTTTTTAAGCATTTGCACTATTTTGCAAAGGCTGTCCTTGAGTTCCTGGTCTCAAGTGATCCTCCTGCCTCAGCGTCCCCGGACCAGTATACCTAAGTACTCTTACTACTGAAGGGGTACAAGTTGTTGCATCTATGGTTCAAGAGTTCTTCACCTGACTCAGGCCAGACTTGGGTTATAAGTGAGATCAGTGGGAAACTGTAGACTTCAGAAGGGAGGGCACTGGTGGCTGCCACAGCCTACTAGCTATTAGTGAACACTTAAGGATTAAGTGTGACAAGAAAAGTGCTTTCTGTCCTGCTTTGTAAAGCCACTCCCCTTGGGCCACTATAGCCCATGCCAAGAGAGGCTAACCTACATCTATGACAAAAAAATGAGAGGGAATTCCACAAGGCCTAAGAAGCCAGAAGACCTTCTTCCCTAAAAATGTCTTCTTCCCTAAGACAACTGATCTTGCAAATCTGTGCCACTGAGTCAGGAAATGAAGCCCTGGCATGGGTTTCCCCTACGTACACTCGGCTTTCCCATCTGTAAAATGGGAGCCACCACAAATCCACCTACTTCTTGGTAGCATTATAAGAGTGAAATGAGAAGACTTCTAAGCATTGGAAGTGAGGAGCAGAAATGTGACAACATTATTGATAGGAGTGACAGTTACTGTTCTTTTCCCACCAGGGTTCATCAGGAGTAAGTTGCCTTGATGAACACAGTAAGCAAACATTGATGAACATAGCTCTTGCTCCACATTGTCACTGGGCCAGTCTCCATCACAGGAAAATAGGCAATGTCCTTTCAGGGAAGGCATGCAGAGGGGCTGGTGAGGACGGGGAATACTGAGTGTCCTAGCCCCACCCACACGGGTGCCTAAAACTCAAACAGCCAGGAATGGCTCAGTCAGAACGGACTTTATAAAACTGAGAAACATGAGGAAATCTCAGGACAGACAGACAGGAGGTCCACTCACGTTTGGGATATCTGCATGGTACAAAGATGGGTCCCACGCAATTAGGATTCCTTCATTGTACAAGCTGTCCTTAAGGAACTGCTTTTCTGTGGTGATTAACTGCAGTGAGAAAGAGACAAGACGTAACGTAAGCATCTTTGTGTAAATATTTGGCTCATAATGACAATTGACACATATATCACCAGGCTGGCGCTACCTGAGGTCCAGAGCCCCACATGAGGCCCTATGCTGGTTTAGGCTTACTTTCCATGGAAATACAGGAGCAATGCTCTAGTGAACTGTGTTCATAACAAGCTGTTAGCCATAGAGTATAACGGGTTCCACTCAGACTCTGAATCTAAAGGGTTACTTACAGTGAAAATGGCACAGAACCCTAGTCCTACAGCCAGATCTTGCCAGGGGTAGAGAAATGAAAACTAATGGCCCATTTTCAAAGATGCCACAGGCAAGCTTGGGCCCAGTTACAGGCACACTAAGAATATTGGATCCCTGCAGATCTCTCCAGTCCGGCTACAGTCCCACCCCAAGTTACTGACAGTCAATCTTGCCTAATCACCAAGGACATGACAAGGTCACATGCCTGATAAGCCTTAAATAAACATGGCATAAGATGCAGCGATGAGCCCATCCACTGTCTTTGGTAAGAAACAGACAAACCTAAGTGGCAGAGGGAATGATAAACCAATGGTGTGGACGCTCCCTCAGGATTACTCAGCAAGTGAGGAAAGGGAGGAAAAGTCAAGCAGACTCTCTGGACTATAAACCAGTCAGTGTGTCTGCCACTATGGGCTGATGGTTGGTCTCGCCAAGTCATAAAATGATAAACTAATTGCCTTGCTTTGGTCACGCTGGGTCTCCATTGCTCATATTCATGTGACACAGAAGAAGTCAGAGTGGGATTTTAAGTCCTTACTAAACATAATTAAGGATCCACAGAAGTCCTTTCAACCATCCACAAAGTCTGACTACATTGTCTCTCATAGGTGCCGTAGACCATAGTGTCTCTGTCACCGAGACAAGGCAGGTGTCTCTGGCTGAACACCAGAAGCCAGCAGCTCATGTGGAGGGACCAAGTATACTAAAACAATTACAAACTTCAGATGCAGGTTCTCACCAGACAGAGAGATGCTTATCTGTAACCTCGTGTGAGCATGAGCCACAGCCCAATTTCCCATCCCTCCCCGGCTGCAGACAGGTGAACGTGCCAACCTTGATGGGGCACTTTCACAAAACATACTAAGAAATGTAAACCAAATATCATATTTAGATTCAATAATTTTACTTTAAGGAATTTAACCCAAGAAAGGATCTAAGTTGGAGGGAATATATGCATGGAATTGTTAATTGCATTATATATCAAAATAATAAAAGAGAAGACTTGGATAGAAAAAGGCCCAGGTCTGTTCTTGTCTTTCCCACTAATACTCACTCTGCTGTTCCCACAGGAGCTATTTTAAGTCTGCCACATGACATAGCTATACCACTCCTTTACTTGTGATCAAAGGACTCAGCCTCATACTTCCCAGATACTTGCCCAGCCATATTCATTGCTGTTCTATTCACAATATCTAGGAAATTGGAGCAACCCAAATGTCTTTCATGAATAGATAATAAAAATGTGTTACATATATACCTTGGAATATTATTGAGCTGAAAAGAAAAATGAAATTACAAACTTTGCAAGGAAATGGATAGGACTGAAGACATGCTATTGAGAGAGGTAACCCAGATCCAGAAAGACAAATGTCACATGTTCTCTCTTATGGAATGTTCCTAGCTCCAACACTTTAGTTGTGAGCACACAACTTGCCATAAATAAAGAAACCAGGAATAGCAGGGCACAAGTAATCTAAGCAAGGAAATGGGAAAGGGAGGCTCCTTGGGAGGGTGGGGAGGTAAATACAGGGAAAGGAGGGACAATAAGGATGTCTGAAAAAGCCACAAGAAATCATACTATTAACCATTTACCTTTAAAAAACTATAATACATAACTTTGTGTATAAAAATACATATATAATTTTAACAAACTTTCCTCATCTGGGCTGATAGTGCTCACTCCAAGACCAAAGACTACCTAACACAAATGTCAAAACCAGACATGAGAAGCCCACTTTTGAGTTGTTGGTCAGGGCTGTTGAGAGATTCCCCAAACATACAGACTACTGCTGTTGCCTTGACTACCCAGAGAGGTGTAGGGTAAGTCTCTATTACTGCAGACACCATGAACTTCAGAAACAGAGCCCAGAGGCCCTGAACTGGACCTGACCTGAATGCCCCTGGCTGAGGACTAGCTTCCATGGTAACAGAAGGCACCATGTAAGCTTCTAAAGGAGGGAAGCAACCACCAGTCCTGCCCAGCTATACCACCTATGAACCACGTCGGCTACCAACATGGCACAATAACCCTATTGGCGTAGTAGTGACACACAAACCTTGGTGGTAACCCACAGCTCTCTAACTGGAATCAAGAGGGATCAACAAGAAACATTTGTCCTTATAGCCACAGACAGTATAATCTTCACCTCTCATTGAGGAAAACTTCTGTTTGTAACAGATGGAGATGACTGCAGAAAACCACAACCAATCAAAATGCAGCGTTATGGAGCCCAGTCTCATCTACAAAACACAACCACACCAAAGGCTCAGAGGACAGAAAAGAGGGGCGGAAAGGTTGTAAGAGCCAGAGGATCAGGGAGTTTGCTGAGAGACTGTGTCTCCTAGCAACACCAGAAGCTCCACCTGTAAAGCCTCACCAACAACACTGTCCAAACATGAGCTGAACAAGGACACCAACAAACATGTCAGCCTGGAGACTTCAAGCAGCCGAGTAAAGCTGGGAGCAGGGGAGGTGGCCTCCCCAGAGACGAGCAACTGGTTGTCCACTGACAAACAGTCATCCCTGAAAATACACATACAAGTAACATTATATGGACTCTACAGTATATTGAGGAGTATATGTGTATATTCAAATACATATACACATGCAATAACAATGAGTGAAAGAAGAGGTTGGAAGGAAAGTGAGGAGGAGTATATGAGAGAGTTTGGAGGGAGGGAAGGGAGAGATGTTGAAATTAGATTATAATCTCAAAAATAAACTTTTAAGAATCGAATCTGGAATATGAGTAGACAGGAAAGATTAGCCCAAAGGTTTAATAATGAAAGAGCCACGTCCTTTTAACATACCACACACACACACACACACACACACACACACAATGAGATCAACTATCAAACATGCGTTTGATAGCTGGGACATGAGGTTGTCTAAGTTAAAAGTGAGTGGTGCATACGGAAAAAAACAAATTGAGAAGTGATCGAAAATGAGAGGAACCAAGTTACAATAATCCCTTCTTACCTCAATGACTACTGTTAGGACCGAGACCTCACAGCATCACTACAGTGTCTGGTAACGGCACACTAAGGGAGACCTATGTATGGTACAAACAATAGCAATGCCATGAACTTCCCTATCCCTTCCAGCAGACGGAGGCCCCCTGCAAGCCTGCAGATGTAATCTGCGGGACATATTCTCCTATGAGACAGGTGTTATCAGCAGTAGACTCACGTAGGTCAGGATTTATATAGTTAGATCAGTTGCCAACGAGTACCTGCCCTCCAGGTGGTCATAGCCTGATAGAGATGGTAAACAATGAAACAATGGCTAAGCATACAATAGTATGACACTAGACAGGGTTAGAATGACAATGGGGTGTTTAGGCACTAAGGGATGATAAATGTGAACACGCCATGTCATGGGGGTCAAGGAAACAAGAATGCCCCAAACCAGAGCAAGTGCAGATCCCTAATGCAGGGAGATGTGAGTCTGGTGAAGATGAAGAGCTGTCAACACGAACCCCTCTTCCTTCCTTGGTAACACCTCGAAGATTTATTTCATTGAGTGGCAACCTACGAGAGACTACCAGAAATAAATACCTGTCAGCTGCTCTTGCAGTTAAACGGCCATGGCACTAATTCTAACCAATGAGATATCAAGTGTATGGCTTTCAGGAGGTGACCATCACCCTCCCAAGGGGCTGAAATGTGGAGGTGATACACGGAGTTTGAGTGGTCATCATTGATGTCCCAAGCTGACAACTGCAAAATAAAAAGTAGAAGGACCTGGGATTTTGTCACAGCAGATAACGTGGAAGTCAGAAATGTCTACCCAGGAACTTTCATAAGAGAGAGGAATATATTTTGGTCTAATTAAGGAAGCCTGGGGTGAAGGGAGATGAGGTGGTTCCTCTCACTGATAGCCAGCCTAATTTCCATTATTAAGGAAGGCGTCTTCTTGGGGATTATAACTCGTTCAGTGTGGTTAGAATACACAGAGCGAGATGTGGGCAGTAGCCAAGTGGTAGGTCCTTCTCATCTGTATCTCAAAGGGGGGCCAGTTTCAGGTAGTCTTCCTAAGGATACATACACACACACACACACACACACACACACTACACATCCTATAAGGCCTTTCCTGAGGTAGTAGCCAATAATGGAAAGAGCAAAGCTTTTAAGTAAGGCTCCTGTACTCATGTGGCAAGGCAGTATAACCTGGTTCAAAGTATCCTGATGGGAGAGGGTGAGATCCTGATGAGGAGACCCGATCATCCCCATAGCAACAGAGCTTAGAGGAACAGCTAACAAGAAAAGGCTACTCCAGTGAGATGTGTGCTGCTGCTCAATCTACTTTCCCAACCATAAAGTAACAAATATTAATATACAGAAAACACACGCAGGACATGTGTGCACACGAACACAAACACACACACACACACCACACACACAAGGGAGTATTCATCTATGATTACACATAACTCCACTGTTCGGACCTTACCTCCAACTAGTTCTAGTTGGGACTTTTTTCTTCCCAGACCACTTTTTCTCTGCGTAGGGCTGTGCCCCATCATATCCAAATGATGACAATCTGATTCACAGTGTGTCTGCATTTAGAGACAGGGTCTTTAGGAAGGTAGTGAGGGTGAAATGAGGCTATGGGGTGGAGCTCTCATCCACTAAGTGTGCTGACCTTACCAAAGAGGCACCAGAGTCTCTGTGCATGCCCCGGATGAAAGATCAAATGAGGTCACAGCAATAAACTG